TTCCTGCAAGAATTAATTCATCTTTCTGTGCTTGAGATACTGAACAAGTAACACCTGCCCTCATCCGAACCCAACGGATGTATTCGGATTTCAATAAAAGATTCGCTCTCTTGGATCACAATGCTGATGGGGAAGTAAGCATACACAGATCTCACCTTGTAATGGAAGCCCAGTGTAACTCCCTTGATAACATTTTGCACATGACTACAGAGAGTGTGAACGGCACCAGTTCCTTTCTATTTCCCCACCCCTTGTCAATGCGAAGCCTCTCCTTTTTCTTTCCAAGGAGACCGAGCTCTACACTGATATGACTCAAGTCCCAGGGCAAGTCTCCTCTGGGGCCCGTCACAATAACTGTGCATCCCTTCAGACTCATGTCGACTTTCTCTGGGATGTCTCGACTGTCTGGTTGCTGAGAATGGTCTGCATTCTTGTAGCAGATGTGGCAAAGCCAGAAATACAATATTTTTATGAATTGTAAAATATCTTGGCTTGTATGTAAATTCACTGACTCTAACACCAACTATGCATCAGACTGCAAAGTCATTTGAACTGCAAGGTTGGCAGTTCAAGCTCACCAGCTGCTCCTTGGAAACCCTATAGAGTGTTGCTATGGGTCGGAATTGACTTGATGGCACTTAACAACAACAACAACAACTACGAATCCTGGTGTGGTGCTACACGATAAGAACTGGACAGCTACTAGGTTGGCAGTTTAAACCCATCAGCTGCTCCTGAGAAACTCTATACTGGGCTGGAACCAATCTGACAGCACATTAGCACCACCACCACCACTACCAATTTATGGAGTGATGTGGTGGTGGTGGTGGTGGTGGTGGTGGTGTATCGGGGAGTTGGTTCCTACTCATAGTGACCTTGCATAGGGTTTCCAAGGCTGTAAATCTTTACAAGAGCAGAAAACCTCATCTTTCTCCCACACAACAGCTAGTAGTTTCAAACTGCTGACACTGAAGTTAGCAGCCCGACTTGCAACCACTATGCTACCAAAGGTTCTTATGGAGATCACTCCATAGTTTATATATTTGAATCAGAAATTCATCTGGTTTAATGGACTTCTTTCCAATACAACGTTCTGTGATTCAAGAATTGGACTGCTAACTGCAAGGTAAGCAGTTCAAACCCACATACCACTTCTTAGAAACCTTATATAGGGTCGCTATGAGTAGTAATTTACTCACTACTGGACTAATAAACAACATCAAGATAAATGAAAAAAAAAGACTGAAGTTGAAAAAGACTTCATTTTGTTTGACTCCACAAACATTCATAGAAGCAGCAGTCAAGAAATCAAATGAAGTACTGCATTATGCACAAGACCTCTTTAAAGTGTTCAAGAGCAAAGATGTCAGCTTGAGAACTAAAGTGCACCTGACCCAAGCCATGGTATTTTCAATAACCTCATATCCATGCGAAAGTTGGACAGTGAATAAGGAAGACCGTGAAGAATTGATGAATTTGAGTCATAGTGTTGGAGAATATTAAATCAGGGATGTTTCACTGGACTTCTGTTACAAGATTAGGTCTGTATAGCTCACTTCCCCATCAACATTGTTATCCAAGAGGGCAGGTCTCGTATAGAAATCCGAAACTTCTTGAGTGAAAAATACATCCTTAGGGTCCAGATGAGGGCAGGTGTTGCTTGTTCAGTATCTCAGACCCAGAAAGATGAACTAATTCTTGAAGGAACTGACTGCTAGAACAAACAAATCTGTATTGGAAGAAGTACAACCAGAATGCTCCTCCTTGGAAGCCAGGATGGCTAGACTTTGTCTCTCATAGTTTGGAAATATTGTTAGGAGGGACCAGTCCCTAGAGAAGGATATCATATCTGGTGAAGTGGAAGGTCAGTGAAAAAGAGGAAGACCCTCTTTCCAATGAAATGGATTGGCAGAGTGGCAAAAGCAATGGGTTCAAGCTTATCAACAACTGTGTGGACAGCACAGGGCTCGGTAGTGTTTCATTGTGGTGTGTAAGGTTATTATGTGTAGGAATTGACTTGATGGCACCTAACAACAAGGTGAGTTAGAACCGATTTGATGGCACTTCACATTGCACATCCTTTAGTCTAACTAGAGGTTTCTATGATGTACTTACCTTGTTGATGTTGTCGGGTTCTGACACGCTGGCTCAGACTCACAGCAATGATATGCACAACAGAATGAAACACTGCTCGTATCTGCACCATCCTCACAATTGTCACATTTGAGCCCACTGTTTCTGCCACTGTGTCAATCCATCTAATTGAAGGACTTCTACTTTTTCAATGACCCTCCACTGACCAAGCATAATGTCCTTCTTCAGGGACTGATAACTTCTGATAATATGTCCAGAATATGAGAGAAGAAAAATGGCAATCCTGGCTTCTAAGGAGCATCCTGGATGTACATATAGGCTACATATATACATATATATATGTGTGTGTGTGTGTGTAGATAGTTGTTGTTGTTAAGTTGGTTCTGACACGAAGCGACCCTACAGGGTTTCCAAGAAGCAGCTGGTGGGCTTGAACTGCCAACCTTGTGGCTTATCACAGAGCACCACAACAAGACACCATATACATATGTACATATTACATATAATCCCTAATAAAAAAATTAACCAAGTTAAAAAATTTCCTCCTAATACTTTATTGTGATCAGTTTCAATGAAGAAATAAGAGTTTTGATCAAGGGAAGTAAGGAGCAATAATTTATAACAACAAAACATATGTGGGGTAGGGAAGACTGGAACCGACAGCACGAAAACATTTGAATCTGGGAATACATGGCTCCTCAAAGCGTATTAAGGGGTACAATGATTGATGCAGGATACACCAGTGAGACTTGAGCAATTCTTTCCTATAGCCAGATTATTGTCCTCTAAATGGCATTCAGTTTCCATATCTTTTAACCAAGACTAAGTCCTGGTGTGGCACTGTGGGCTAATGCGTCAGACTGTGAAGTCGTTTGAACTGCAAGGTCGGCGGTTCAAGCTCACTAGCTTCTCCTTGGAAACCCTATACAGGGTCACTATGGGTTGGAATCGACTCTATGGCACTTAACAACAACAACAACTACTACTGATGTAGCGTAGTGTTTATAAATCAGGCTGCGAACCGCAAGGTCAGCTGTTCGAAACTACCAGCTGTTCTGCGGGAGAAAGACGAGGCTTTCTGCTCCAGTAAAGATTTACAGCCTCGGAAACCCTGTACAGGGTCACTGTGAGTCGGAAATGACTCCACAGCACATAACTATCACCATCACCATCACCACCACCACAACTGATGTAATACTATGGTCCAGCTACCAAAATAAAGCAAACCTACTGTCACTGAGTTTATTTCAACTCATAGAAACCATGTATAGGGTTTCTGAGTCTACACGTCTTTATTGGAGCGGAAAGCCTCATCTTTCTCCCAAGGAGCAGCTGGTGGGTGTGAACTGCCTACCTTTCAGTCCAGTGCTTATACTAAAGTGACACCAGGGCCTAACCCGGGGTTATACCACAGATTTAACACTCATGTGGAAAAACGGAGTCCTGTAGGGTAAGAACTGGAATGCTAACTGCAATGCCGGTGGTTCAAACCCACCAGCCACTCTTCAGAAACTCTGTACAGGGCTGCTATTAATTGCAACTGACTCAAAAGCACTTAATAAGTACAAAGGCCAATTAGGAAATACATTGAAGCTCCCACATAATGATTTAAAAAAACAAAAACAAAAAACACAACCCATTTCTAAATTGGGGAAGGTATATACCAACATGGCCTTAAGTTCCTAATGGTTTTAGAAACTTCATGACGGTACACAGTGTGTGATGCACAGATAATGCAGCTCACAAATGGGAAATAATCTGAATGTATAAACTCCTTAGAAAATCCAACCCTCTTTCCTGATTAAATTCAATCTTTCTGGCCTTTGTTGCTGTTGTTAAGTGCTGTCAAGTCAGTTCTGATTCTGCGACCATGCATAGGGTTTCCGAGGCCTTAAATCTTCACGGGAGCAGAAAGCCTCATCTTCTTCTAGTGGAGCAGTTGACAGGCTCAAACCGTGGACCTTGGGGTAAGTAGATACAAATATTCCTTTCTGAATACCTGTACATATGCAGTAGCTTTCTGAAGATAATGTTTCATTCACAGGAATCATTGGCAAGCCGATATGAAAACGCCTGGACAAGTGAGCCTTTTAAGTTCCTCTAGGGTCTTTACTCTATTAGTTGTCTGTGGTCCCAGCTCTGCTTGGAACCAGTTATTTGTTAGGCGTCATCTTCCCTAACGTGCTACTTGTCTAGCCATGTAAATCTGAAAAGGGCATTTTCCTGAGCTTTACTTTAAGATGGTCTTCTGTGCGTAGGTTTAGAGAACTGAACCCAAAACTGTCAATTTGTCATACAGTGGTGGTATGCGTTTTGCTATGATGCAGGATGCTATGCCACTGGTATTTCATAAACCAGCAAGGTCATCCATGGTAGACAGGTTTTAGCAGCGCTTCTAAGCTAAGGCAGACTAGGAAGAAAAGCCTGGTAATCCACTAGAAATGAACCAGTGAAAACCCATGGGCCACAGAAGATTGTCTAAGACCTTTACTGGCTTACTCTGGTTGCATCATCAGGAGAGATGGATTGCTAGAGAGGAATCATGTGGGTAAAGTGGGGGGCCAGAAAAGGTGAGAAAAACCCTTAATGAGATGGACTGGCTCAATGGCCTAACAATGGAATGGACTCAAACATACGACCAATCATGAAGATGGTGCAGGAACAAGGCAGTATTTTGTTCTTTTATACAGGAGATCACCATGAATCAGAGCTGACGACAACATACTACTATTATTTGAGTGCTGCAAAACACAGGACAAAATGAGGTTTTTTACTTCTTTAATAAAGACTACAACTCAAGTGTATATATTTTCTATAAAGATATGATTTATATTATTACTACATTTACAAATATGAATCTTTTCTTGCAAGACACATGTGTAGTATTTCAAAATGAAGAAACTTACTCATCATTGTCATCTGTTGTAGATTCTTTTCTTTCAGCTAATCTGGAATTGAGGTCATTCAGTTTTGCCCTCTTTTCTACATATTGTGCAATAAAGAGAAGAACACGAAGTTAAGGAAAAATTTCTTAATCCTGAATAGAAGTTAGATTGCCAATATTTAAACAGAAACTAAAAGAGTGGGAAAGTGAAAGGCAGGCAGGTAAAGAAAAATGATCTACAACTTCAAATGGGAAAATGTTTTCATTATTCTGACAAACTTTTAAATAGCTAGTTTTTTTCATTTCCTATTTTCCTAATTTTTATTCATCAGGATGTTATATGGGAAAAACATCTTTTGAATAGATTTATCATTGGAATGTGGCAAATTAAGGAGAAAATTAGAAAAATCAATTTGAGAATTAGTTTACTTAGATGAAAATATTTTAAGGAAAGATTATCATATTAAAACTTCCAGTTTTTATTTTTTACCCTATTTTTCCCTAAAAGTAACTAGATATGGCAATACAAATATCTAGAAAATTGTGAGTTTCTAGTGATATTACCATAAAATAAAACTGATTTTAAAGGTAAGATAATCTGACTTTTAAATACATATTTATGTCGCAGTTCTATGAAGAGATCTTTAGTGTCTACCAGTCATTCATTAAAGTACCTATTTTAGGTAATATTAAGTAGTTAAATTCCATTTAAAATGCTACATAGTTATTTCAGGCCAAGGTTTATCTAAACTTTCACAGGCCCACAGAGGCAAAGTGAAGATGTGGTGTTGTAAATACATCATAATCTCTCAAATGTCTGCTGGGGTGAAATGCAAGTTTGATTTTATAGCTGTAGGAGCCATGTGATGTTTTCACTTGCTACTGCCACCGCTGCCACTGCCGCTGCATGCCTTTAAGTCAGTTCTGACCATAGGAACTCCGTTTAGAGTTTCTGTGGCTATAAATTGTTACAGGAGCAGAAAGCCTCATCCTTCACCGTCATCTTTCACGTGTTGTTGTTGTTAAGTGCCGTCGAGTCAGTTCTGACTCATAGCGACCCTGTCTAAGATTTCTGAAGAGCAGCTGTAGAATCTGAACTGCTGACCTTGTGGTTTGCAGTCTAGTGCTGATCCTACAGCACCATACCTCAAATAGATAGCTGTTTTATGAGTTATTTAGCTAGTTGGTTGTTCTGACTCATAGAGACCCACTGGTGGGTTTGAACTGCTGACCCTTGTGGTTCACAGTCCAGTGCTGATCCTACAGCACCATACCTCAAATAGACAGCTGTTTCATGAGCTGACTAGTTAGTTGGTTGTTCTATAGTTCTAGATCATAACACATGGGGGCTTCCACAAATTTTTGGAAACATGGAATTAAAGATAATGAATTTTTTCACAATCTTTTTGAAGCCTTCTCCTATACTGTGAGCACATTTAATATTTTATAGGCAAGTTGTTATAGATTAAATTAGTTCTATCTTAGATGGCCCATCTCTGCATTGCATTTTTATTCTTTTACTTTTACTATTATTACTAAAGAAAAATAATATTTAAAAGTATATTTTCTATTACCTGATAGTTAAAATTTCATTAGTAAACTTTCAGAAATTAATAATGCTTTCCCACACTGATACACTGGGTATTATGCCTTCCTGCCTCAAAAAAATTACAACATAATTAAAACTGTTATCTGAAAATATACTTCAATGTTAAAAAGGGAAAAACCTATGGTTTAGAGATTTTGCTAAAATACTCATTATTGCTCTTTTTTATTAACTTTTCTTTATTTGTTAGTATCCTTAAATTCCACATAGAATAAATAATATGGCTAAAAGTTTATTTAATAAATAATGCAGGCATTAATAGCAATAACAATTTTTAAACTGATTTTAGAGAACCCTGAGGGAAATTTTTATGTGGCACAATAGGATGATCACTGGACCACAAGTCAGTTTGAACTTCAAGGTCAGCAGCTCAAATTCACAGGTCATTCCTCAGAAACCCTATACTGGGTCACTATGAGTAGGCACTGACTAGACAGCATTTAACAACAACTCTCTATAAAAAAAAAAAAAAAGAAAGAAAGAAAGAAAGCAATTAAACTGAAATGTATCTATTTTGTAGAAGTCTACAAATGAAAGCCCAAGTTATACTTTAAGGCTTTATTTCAGAGAATCTTTACCTAAAGGTTAATAAAAATTTCCTGAATCTTGACAATGCTGTCTAATTTCCATAAATCTCCAAAATTAAAAATTAAAATTGTTTTCTTCTTTTAATTTGCAATTTATTTTTGCATCAAACTACCAGCAGTCAGTAATGTCAGGTTAGAAATAGTAAACATATTTTATTTGAATTTTTACCAGCTGTTCAATGCTTTTCTAAGTATTTTATTATTCTAAGAGAAATTTTCAAATATCTCATCCTGTGAAATGTGAACATTAATCTCAATCTTATTATAGCAAAACTTAAACTTTTAATATACTTTTCAATTGCTAGATAGTTTTTAATGTCTTTAAGAATGATCAATTATAAAAGATTGTTGAATAGTCTAATATATCATAGAGAAAATTACTATCTACTTAATAATTACTTCTTTCATTTCATTCTACTCTGTCATAAAAAAGTAAACACAGTTAATATATATTAGAAGACCAAGGGGGTCTATAGAGTCCTGGTGTGGCGGTGCAAGATAAGCACGGGGCTGCTTATCAGCAGGTCAGCAGATGGCTATAAAACATCACAAAGCCAGGAAACAGCATACTGTCAGCACCTCAGAAACACTTGATATATGACTTTTAATAGTAGATTTTTGTGAATTGGCTTTAAGATGTTGTTCTTGTTAATCACCACTGAGTCGGTTCCGATGCACAGCAACTCAGTATAGGGTTCCCTAGGAACAGTTGGTAGTTCAAACTGACCTTGAGGTCGAGTGCTTATCCCATGGCACCACACTGGACTTTAAGATAGGAAGTTGTTGTGAAGTGCCATCGAGTCGGTTCCGACTCATAGCGACCCTTTACAAGGTTTCCGAGGAGCAGCCGGTGAGCTTCAACTGCTGACTTTGCGGTTCAAACTGACCTTGCGGTCTAGCACACTGACTGGCAGTGCCAGACCAGGACTCGAAGATAGAAAGTTGTGATTAGGTAAAATCAGTGTTTCAGACCTCACATGTTTCATTTTTTAAAATTAGGTAAAGTGAGGAAACTTCCTGTTTCTCTTTAGCTTGTAGTCACTGCTCAGCATTTAGTAAGCGTTATTAATATATAGACTAATCACAGTATATCTAAACCTCCATAATTAAATTTGAGCATACTTAAAATTCTCTACTGTAAAAACTGATATGTCACTGATTCATGACATTTAAAAATATTAATCTAGTCTTTAAAATAGAGACTACTTACTAATTTTTTAAAAGTAAGTATTTTAGTAATATACTATCAGAGAACAACAAATAATAGGGTAAAATTAAACTAACAATACTTTAAGATACAGAATTTTATGTTATTATTAGTCTTTCCTCTAATGGCAAATTCTACAACTCTTTTACCAACACATCTAAAATAGTATAGAAAAAAAGAAAGGCATGGAATATAATAAATGCAAGCTACGTACAGGTACACTGAATGTGAATACAACGAACATGGCTAAAAGCAACATTTAGAACCATCATCCTGGACTGGAATGCAGCAGTACCTGAATGACGTGCCCTTTAATTTATGCACATGACAGACTGCTTGTGAAGAGTGTATCTGTAACCATTGTAATTGACAGTAGCTGATGGCCATATGGTCATAGCTTGTATTTAATGGATAACAATGGAAGAGAATAAAGCCTGTAATAGTATTTTAAAGTAAGTGTCTTAAAAAGTTTACATTTATGCCTACAGTATTACCTACATTCTAGCCTTTCTATATGCTGAATGCATATAGACTACATCCATATATTAGTAAACAAAAATCTTGATTGAACCAATAACTAGAAAAATCTTAAAATAAGTGGAGAAGAATGTCCAACTAACCATTTGATGGTCCATTTCTGTGCTTCTGTTCTTTAGGCCTTGTGGGAGAATTGAATGAGTTCATCAAACAAGTTCCAGTTGTTGGAGAAAAAGTTATATTACTCCTCTTCCTTTGGATGTCTGAACTCTCAACTGACTGGAATTAGATAAACATTCGGAACAGAAATACTTATGTTTAATTATAGAACTTAAAAAATACCTTTGAAAACAGCAAAACCCAATGTCTTCCTTGTTCTTTCTTTTCAGATTTCAAATATACTCAATGATCACCTTTAAAACCAATAATATCTTTTCAAATCATGTAGCTATTTCAGGTCTCTATAATAATTAAAGCATTTCAACTCGTTATCTACAATATTTTAACATTAGGTTATTGTCCAGTCACATCCTGACTTTTGCTCTGAGCGGAACTGGAAATATAATTATGGGGCTGGGCCAGAGAACTCTCAGAGGTGCCTATTAACTAAGAGCCACAAGGAAATCCTAAGATCAGTGCTATCAGTGTTTACCAACAAAAAAGTTGCTGCTGTCAAGTCGACTCTGACTCACAGCAACCCTACAGGTCAGAGTAGAACTGTCCCACAGGGTTCCCAAGGTGGTAAATCTTTACAAAAGCAGACTGTCAGAACTCTCTCCTGTGAAGTGGCTGGTGGGTTCAAACTTCGAACCTTTCAGCCAGCAGCCAAACACTTTAGCACTGCATCACTGTCATAACCTTGGTGTGGTGCTGTAGGATAAGCATGGGACTACTAACCACACAGATGGAGGTTCAAACCCATTGGCCACTCCTCAGAAACCTTACACAGGGTCACTATGAGTAGGAATGGATTCAATGGTACTTCATAATGGTAACAATAAAGTCTTTTGAAGTCGCCCTAATGCACTAGCTTACCTTAACGGTAATCAAAATTATGTACAAATAATTTAGCCTGGCATTTAAGCCCTTTGAGAAATCTACTCTGCAGTTTAATCCTCCTCCTTGCTTCCATAGACCGTGTGTACAAGTTTTATTACAGTTAAAATATTTCAATAATTTTTTACATTTCTCTCTGCCTCAGTAGATTTTGAGTACCTAAAATAAACATCATTTCTTCATCTTTGTAGTCTAGAATTTTTAAATGGATGATGAATGAATGATTTAAGAGAACAGTCCAATAAACTTGGCCAAGTCATTATTCAGAATATATTCATTTGCTTAGTAGTTTAGTCACTCAATATTTTGAAGTGCTATTGAGTATGTTCCAACTCATAGTGACACTATATAGGGTTTCCATGGAGTGGCTGTTGAGTTTGAACCAATGACCTTGTGGTTCAAACTAACCTTCCAGTCCAGTGCTTTATCCCACAGGCCACACCAGGACTCTCACACAATATTACTAGCCCCAAATGTTAAGGTCCTAATGTAGGATAAACACTGGACTGCTAAGCACAAGGTCAGCCGTTCAAACCCATTAACTGCTCCTCGGAAGCCCTAGACAGCGTCACTATGAATTGGGTCCAGCTCAACAGTACTTAATAACAATAATGTTGGATAAGCACAAGACTGCTAACTACAAAGTCAGCAGTTCAAATCCAGCAGCTGCTCTGTGGGAGAAAGATGAGACTGCTTCTGTAAAGATTTGCATTCTCAAAAACTATACAGGGTTGCTATAGGTCAGAATCAACTCGCTAGCGATTGGTTTGCTTTGGTCTCAGTGTCTAAGTCAAGGAGCCATGGTGGGGCAGAGGGTAAGTGTTGAGCTGCTACCTGCAAGGTCAGCAGTTTAGTCCCACCAGTCTCAGTCCACAGTAGAAAGATGAGGCTGTCTGTCTCTGGAGAGAGGTACAGTCTTTGAAACTTGATGGAGCACTTCTACTCAGTCCTGTAAGTTTGCTGTGAGTTGCAATCAACTTGGCGGTAGTGGGTTAATGTCTAAGTCATCAGGCTGTGTATATTTCTGCCTTAGCTCATCTTATGGCGTGAGTGGTGAGTGGAATGCCCTTTAGTTTAGGGTTCTTTCTGATTCTGACTCTCGATACTTGATATCTATCACTACATCCATTGCTCCATCTTCTATATTTCCCTCAAACTTGTTTCTACTAGCCAGCCAGCATTTGTTAATTACTGTGTATAAAAAATATATCAAGGGGTGGAAGGGAAGGGAGGGTAAATCACTGGCTAAAGGGTTTGTTGTTGTTGTTAGGTGCCTTCGAGTTGGTACCAACTCATAACGACCTTATTATGCACAGCAGAACGAAACACTGCCCAATCCTGGGACAACCTCACTATTGTTACCACACTTGAGTCCACTGATGCTGCAACTTGGCCAATCCATCTCACTGGGGTCTTCCTCTTTTTCTCTGACCCTCCACTATACCAAACATGATATCCTTCTCCAGTGACTTGTCCCTCCTGACAATATGTCCGAAGTATGAAGGACAAAGTTTGGCCATCCTAGCCTCTAAGGAGCACTCTGGCTGCACATACTGTTGGTTCTTTTGGCAGCCCATGGCACGTTCAATATTCTCTTCCAACACCATAACTCAAATTCATCAATTCTTCTACAGTCTTCCTTATTCACTGTCCAGCTTTCGCATGCATATGAGGCTATGGAAAATATCATGGCTTGGGTCAGGCGCACCTTAGTCCTCAAGCTGACACTTTGCTCTTCAACACTTTAAAACAGGTCTTGTGCAGCACATTTGTCTAATGCAATAATACATCGTTTGTTTCTTGACTGCTGCTTCCATGAGTGTTGATGGTTGATCCAAGAAGAAAGAAGTCCTTGACAACTTCAATCTTTTCTCCGTTGATAAGAATGCTGTCTATTGGTCCAGTGGTGCGGATTTTTGTTTTCTTTACATTGAGATGCAATCCATACCGAAGGCTATGCTCTTGGATCTTCATCAGTAAATATTTTAATTCCTCTTCACTTTCAGCAAGCAAGGTTATATCATTTGCATATCGTCGGTTGTTAATGAGTCTTCTTGAAATCCTGATGCCACGTGTTTTTCTTTATAGAACCCAGCTTCTCGGATTATTTGCTCAGCATACAGGTTGAGTAAGTATGGTGAAAGAACACAACTCTGTCACATACCTTTCTTAATTTTAAACCATTCAGTGCTGCCATGTTCTGTTAGAACAACTGCTTCTTGGTACATGTACAGATTCCTCATGAGCACAATTAAGTGTTCAGGAATACTCTTACTTCACAATGTTGTCCATAGCTTGTCATGATCCACAAAATTGAAAGCCCTGGAGTAGTCAATTAATAAAGCACAGGTAAACATCTCTGATATTCTCTGCTTTCAGCCAAGAACCACTGGACATCAGCAATGATATCCCTCATTGCACGGCCTCTTCTGAATCCAGCTTGAACCTCTGGAAGTTCTCTGTCAATGTATGCTTGCAGCCATTTCTGTATTACCTTTAATAAAACTGTACTCGCATGGGATATCAAAGAGATTGTCCAATGATTTCTGCATTCCATTGGGTCACCTCTCTTTGGAATGGGTTAAAGGGTAGAGATGCATGTAACTCAGTAGCAGAGGTCAATATTCAAGAAGAGGGAGGCTGGCAGAAGAATGATGAAGATAGTTGAAGAAACAGGGAGGTATGCAAGGGCTAAAGGGGATAGAGGTAAATAGTGATGTAGACACAACCTTGAAACAACAGTGTTCTGTGTGAAGATACAAGGACAGAGACACAGGCTGAATGGGTATGAGAAGAATAACATATATATATATCCCACAAATATGTAAGAGTTTGAAAAAGGATATTTGTACATAGGTAACGACAAGGTGGAGGGTATTGAAATCATCGAGATGAAACAAAATATATGCTTTGTAGAATGTAAAACTGATGATCTTTTCTATAAACCTTCATTCCATTCACAACAAAAAGTTAAAAAGAAAAAATATATCAAAATATCCTGGTCAGCAAAGAAGCAGTCTTAAGATAGTATACATGCAACAAAAATTCAGAAAAAAGAGAAAATTAAAGTAGGCTGAAGTTATCTGTGACAGAGGATTCTTGTAAGGAAGAAAGATGGGCCTTAAATAAGTGAAGATAAAAAGTTTTGAAAATCTGAAATCCAGAAGTGGAACAGAGCACAGGTTGGCCTTGGGGAATAACGGAAAGGTCTGGAGGTCTTTATGCTACTTTTGCTTGACTGTTGGTGCTTTTGAGTCGATTTTGACTCAGAATGACTGCATGTAAGAAAGCAGAACTGCTCCGTCGGGTTTTCTAGGTCCTGGTGTGGAGCTGTGGGCTAATGCGTCAGACTGCAAAGCCATTTGAACTGCAAGGTCAGCGGTTCAAGCTCACCAGCTGCTCCTTGGAAACCCTATACAGGGTTGCTATTGGTCAGAACTAACTCGATGGCACTTAACAACAACAATCTTAATGGGAACAGATTATCAGGTATTTCTTCACGAGTCACTGGGTGACTCTGAACCATCAACCTTTCTATTAGTAGTTGAGTGTTTACCAAGGCTCCTTTTTAGCTTGGTAGTCAACTTAAAATAGCAACATAATTTTGCATGGTCAACTATCCTTTATTTTTAAGATACTCATGGGAGAAACAGTAACTGTGCCACCTTTTTCAGCTATTTTGGTATTTGTTCCAGGATCTATAGCATCAAATACATGTAAATAAAACCTTTTACAGTTAACATCCCTCAATGACAAATGCTTTCTTATACTGGGGAGAAAAAGACATTCCATGCTTATTTTACATATCAATAGTATCCACAGATATAACCTATATATATATATATATTTAAATCGAACTGTAAGACCAAGTTATAGCTCTAAACTTGGTAGGGTAAAAGAGTTTTAAGTCTTTCTATCAAGTGGTTACTATTACTATTAAACAGGCTTTCACCTGTTTACAAGTATTCAGTCATAAACAATCCCTACCCTACTTTTCTAACAATGTATTGCTTTCAACTATTTCACTGTATATGTACAAGAAATGAAAGTCACTACCCTAATGTACATTTATGTCAACCTGTTTTCCTATTTTCACCAAAAAGTACTTTGTCCAATTGGCAAATGTCTAAACATTGCAACTACAGATCATACATTTCTCCTTAAAAACAATTTTCTAGATTTCATAATAAATAAATAAATAACAAATCCCACGTGTGCATGTT